TGGCGGTGGCAGTAGCAGTGCCGCCGTCGCCGCCGCCGGCAGTTCGGGGGGCAGCTTGTTCCGGGCGGATCCGCTCTATTCCCCGAGCCCGTCCGAATCGCCGCGGCTGACCAGCAGCCTCATCCAGAGCTTCATCGCCAGCGCCGCCACCCCGGCCGGGAGCGGGGCCGGAGGAGGAGGAGGAGGCGGCGGCGGAGGAGGAGGGGGCAGCCTCGGCGGCGGCGGCGGCAACGAGTGCAAGATGGTCGACTTGCACGGGGTGAAGGTGGCCTCCTTCCTGGTGGAAGGGCAGGAGCTGATCTGCCTGCCGCAGGTCTTCGACCTCTTCCTCAAGCACCTGGTCGGGGGGCTGCACACCGTCTACACCAAGCTCAAGCGCCTGGACATCGCGCCCGTGGTCTGCACGGTGGAGCAAGTGCGCATCCTGCGCGGCCTGGGCGCCATCCAGCCGGGCGTCAACCGCTGCAAACTCATCACCCGCAAGGACTTCGAAACTTTGTACAACGACTGCACCAACGCCAGGTGAGCGAGTGAGGGGAGGGGGGGCGGAACCGGCTCGGTGGTGGGGAGGAGCAGGGAAGGCAAGGGGAAGATGCGCGGCGCCGGGGAAAAGTGCGGGTCGCCTGCGCGCCCGCGGTGCGTGGGAACGAAAGGAGGCGCGGGGTTTGCCCGAACGGCCCCGATCGCCTAGACCGGGGTTTCTTTGGGGAGCGGGGCCGTTTTCAGGCCCCCACGCTTAAGGTTGGGGGGTACAGGACTGTCCTGGGCGGGTCTGCGCAGGAAGAGGTCAAGGTACCCCATGCTCGCGGATCAAGTTTGCCTTTTTTGTTTAAAAATGGGGGGGGGGAGGAAGGCAGGTGGTTTTTGGGAACCCAAGCCCCTTTGCGTTTGGAGAGGGCTTGTCCTTAAAAAGTGAAGTTCTCCGTAGAAATGGGAGAGGATTAGGGGGAAGAGAAAGTCTACCTTAAGCAGCCCTCGAAAAACATGAGCCTTGCAGCTCACATGGAAAAGTTAGGTCCCTTCTTCCAGTTCCTTCAACGGGGGATGGGGATGGACGCGACTTTTCTCTTTTTACGAGGAAAACTTCTCAAAGCATCCCACTTGGACTTTGAAAAAAAAAAAGTCCCTTAAGGGAGAAGGGACTTCCCTGAAAAAGGGAACGTCTTTTTGAGGTCCGCTTGCGCCAGGAAAAGCGATGGGGATCGGGCTGGACCGCTCGGCAACGTGGAGCAAACCGGAAGTTGGGAGAGATGCAGTAGTAAGCGGTTTCCCACCTAGGATGGAGGGTGTTCGTGGAGCGGATTGGGATGCTCTGTCCACGGAAATCATGAGCAGTGTGCCTTGTGAGAAAACCCCTTTGAGATCTCTTAAGTCAGCTTTTGCTGGACGAGGATCTCACACAGCAGTGTTTATATTTCAAGTAAAATGATGCAGAAGTCCTGCCAGATGATCCAGGAGCAAGTGGGATAAAGCCTGGGATGTGAGGCCAATTCACATATGATGGCAGACACTTATTCTCAGTTCAGTTTTTTTTTTGCAATAAAATCCTAGTATAACCAGTAGATCCCCCACCTTTTTGTTGTTGTTGTTTTTTGCTTTGGATAAGATATTTCTATTGTTTTGGTATGGTCAGGAAATATGTAAAGGGAATCCCCAGCCTTGTTGATTTTTGTTGTGTGTTCAGGACTTCAGTGTTGAAACTCTGTTTCCTGAAAGATCATTACATTGTTTGGGACTGTACTTCTTGTTTTCCAAACAAACGTGTTTTTATTTAACAGCACAGCCGTGTGCAGATCTGTACACAGAAAGCTGCAGAATGAGTTCTGTAGGACTTACTTCCAGATAAGTGTGTATTAGATTGCAGTGTCAAGAAAGTCTGGACGGGAGAAGTTTTTCCCGACCACAAGCTGCAACATCTTCATCCTGATTCACCCAAGGCTCTTTAGAACTTTTTTATTTCTTCAGTATCCCACTGGCTGGGTGGGATGTTGCCTGGTTTCTTTTTTTTTAAGAACGTGTGATCCTTTTGCTTCATTTAATGTTTGATCAGAAAATATGGGAGGAAGTGAAACTGACAAGATTTGTCCATCTTTTTGGGATGAAAAGAAAATCTAGTTTCACTTAATTTTTGATCAGAAGCTACCAAAATTTGAGTGCTGGGAGCAATGACGCTTGTGAGTTACCCAATCCTTAGTTTATTTCCCCCCAAAATAGTTTTTCCCAATCTTAGTTTATTTCCCCCCAAAATAGTTTTTCCCAGTCTTTTCGCCTTCCTCTTCCTAATCTGAGATCAGCACAGAACCTTCTTTTCCTTTCACTTTCCAGTGTTTTTTCCATGTGAGTCTTTGCTGTATCAAAAGACGCTGTTGAAGTATGAATTATCAAAGGTCTTGGAGGTCTCATTGTTCTAATGTATCCCTTTCTGTGGCTGGTAATAATAAAATCAAAGCAGGCCTGTGAGTTTCCTGGTGTTTGTTATTGATGTACCAAAAACAAACAAATAAACAAACAACACCAAAACAAAAACAGCTGCTCTTTACTTTTGAGTTTTTTTCCTTCTCTTTCTCCAGATTTTAAGTATGTCACAAAGCTGGACAGTCTGGACGATCGGGGGGGGGGGATGTAATTTGCCTCATTGTTCTAATGTATCCCTTTCTCTGGCTGGTAATAATAAAATCAAAGTGGCCTGTGAGTTTCCTGGTGTTCGTTATTGATGTACCAAAACAAACAAACAAACAAAAAAAAACCAAAAACAGCTGCTCTTTGGTTTTGAGTTTTTTTTTCCCTTCTCTTTCTTCAGATTTTAAGCATGTCACAAAGCTGGACAGTCTGGACAATTGGGGGGGGGAATGTAATTTGAGGTTCTGTTCCCTCAAATCGGAAGATGCTCTTAGCCCATCACAAAAAGCCTTAGTCAAGGTTTACCGGATCAGCCCTGCCGGCCTTAGACCCCCATATGGTCTGCCTCGAGTCATTGACCTAAACCTCTAAAGCTGAATGGGCTTCTGTCCTCATTAGATGCTTTTTGCCCAAAGGGGGTTGTGGCTGAATGAGATTATGTAAAAGAGGCCGAGAAGTGTGTTGCAACTTTTCTGAATGGCGATTATAATATACAGAGTGGGGGGTTGGGGTGGTTCAGATGCTAAAACCTTAGCGATTTTCATGTTGGGGATTATCTAGGCTACTAATCCAGAGAGTGGCAATGTTTACATTTCCTCTCTGCAATAGAAGACAAGGACTGTATTTTTAAAGAATGTTTAGAAATAAATAGGATGTAGAACTTTTGTTTGGCACTAGTCTTACTGTTCATTAAGATCCATGAAAGTATATACTGTATATTGCTTTGAACTAAAGCACCAAGTATGTATGCAGTCTTTGATGATTTTGTTGGTTACCTATTTTTGGCTTTACAAAACTTTCTATTTTTTGACTTTTTAGGATGGGAATAAATCTTGGGATGCTGAAGCTGCGTATGGCAGGTGTGAGAGGGAAGAAGGAATGATAAGAGCCTTGTGAGCTAAGAGAGTGATAAGTTTATAGACTATTGTTCGTTGTAACCCTAAAACCATCTTATATGAGTCAACCCAGTTGGTTGTGTGCATTGAGAGCCTCTATGGTTTCATCTCCTTTGTAACTGCTAAAAAAACCCTGGCTCATCCTGGAGATTGTTAATAATGTCTCTAAATTTTAGAGTACACAATTTCAGTGATTGTGGTGGTGGGGAAGCCTTTTGCATATCATAGTGAAAAAATAAGTGACAGGGCGTTAGAGCCTCCAAACAGAGACCTTAGTGATTCTCAGCAAACTTGCTCATAGACAGACAGATTTGCATTGAAAAGTGTACTTTTGCAGACAAAGTATTGCTTCTTAGGAAAACACATGACAGTTTGTTTCCACATATGGTGACTTAATCAGTTGTTTCACAACTTTTTCTCTATCGTCCACATGACATTCTTTAGAACCTGTTGTGTGAAAGTGAGGATTTTATTACTTGAAATAACCTGCGTTATTCACTTCCTTCTCCCTTGGAAACCAGCAGAAGTAGTAAAAACTCTTTTTCCGCAGGACTAGGTCCTTGATTATTGTGTGTGGACAGTTGGTTTGACAACAGGTATACTTTTAGAGCTGTTTAGGATCATTAATCCTTACCTATATTCATGCCTAGAATAGTTTCTTTTCTTCTTTTGCTTTTCCCCTCTTTTCTGCCTATTTATTCCATGCAAGCATTTTTACAAGTAATTTAGGTTTGTCTGTAACAGAACTGCTCTACCTTGAGGCTGTCACTTTATAGGCATAACTGAAGATTCAGGTAAGATGGGAACAAATTGGTAAAAGGTGCACTGTTGTTTCATTTATGTATGTAAACTCTCTAGCTTTTCATGGGCTGTGTTTGAGCAACGTAAACTTTAAACGTATGCATCCATTCTCTAGGGGTCTCACTTCAGACAATATTTGAAATTGAGGTGAATTTCCTGTATGCCAGGCAGGAGAACTGTCAGGAAAACAACAACAACAGCAATAATAAGAGTTATAGTAGCAGTAACAACAACAATAATAATATTCCACCTGTGGTGCCCCAGCCTCTTGGGCATCTTTAAAAGAGTTATCTGGGTTTTGTGCCTGGCTCCTTTCGTTGGCACCATAGAAATTACCTGGAGATGGTAATTTTCTTCCTTCCGCTGTTAATAGTGGAAGAATTTCTAGTGATCATGCTACAAAAAGTCAAAGCAAACTGTAGAAGCTCCTAGAAGGAATTCTCGAGAAGGTGGAATTGTTAACTGAGTGTTTGCTTCCTTACTTTTGTAAAGCATCGATGGGCAGTAATGGACCGAACAGTGAAAATATCCCCACTGACAGTAGGATGGAATTAAATGCAAGAATAGCAAACTTTTTTTGCTGAAACATCTGAAACAGACTTGCAAATACGGAGAGAGGTAAATGACGAAATAGCAAGGAAGAATCCTGTGGCATCTTGTCTCACCAGTGTGTGGGGGGTGTCAAACTTGTTGACCGCAGTCCACTTTGTAAGATGCACAGGCCTGGGTGTGAATTGTTGAGAAGATGCTCATAGCAAAATTACATCCAGAATGAATTGATACACAGAGAGAACAGTGTTAGTAGAATGTGATGCAATAAAGATTTATCTTAAGCAGCTCCATTAATACAAATCGGGGAAAGCCATGCATGAAAAAATGACTATGGTGTGTGTCTTCAGCTCCAGTGGCATATATGCTGGCTCATGAGTAAGCTCTGTTGAACTTAGTGAGATTTTTGGAAAGACACACGTTGCTTTCACTATTTATACTTCTTTCTAGTTAGAGTACAACTAATTTTAGTGGCATCTTCAGCTATCTAACCTTTTAGCTACTGAAGTCTTATTAGGCAAAAGCCAGCCTTATCAAATAGATTCTTCTGATGACATTAATAGGGCTTATGTAACAACCTCTCTCATACCACCCTTGCCGTTCTTAAAATGTGAAACTCAGTGGCTGCAATCTTATAATATTAAGCCAGCTCTCAGA